ATTTTGGTAGGCGATAAGGGCTTTGGGAATAATGTGAGACGTACTCAGTTCCGATTACGCATTATTTTGTGTGAGGGAAATGAGAGATCATGAGATATGTCATGTGACATTTATGGACGAATCACAGTTCTTTAATAGGAAAAGGGGGTAAATTTGTAAAAATATCTGCCGTACTTTATAGCTTTAGGTTCATTCTATGTTCTGTGAAGGTGTTGCTTAATATTTGGATCCCATGGCCCTATGTAAAGGAAATCCGAAATTTTTATTGTGTTTATGTGTAATCGAAAAGAATTGCTTGAATGGTGTATGAGTGTAGGATTAATTGTGGATAAGTATGAATGTCCAACATGTGGGAATGAAATGAGATTGTGTGAAAGGAAGGATATTTCAGATAAGTTTGAATGGCGGTGCAAGAAATCTGGTGAAAATGGACATTTTGTGAAACAGAGTGTAAAGAAGAGCACATGGTTTGCTGAAAGTTGTTTGAGTATGGGGGAAATTTTATTAATTTCTTATTAGTAGGTGAATAGACTGCCAGTTGACAACTGGATTATTTAATCTATAAGAAAAGTTTATCCGCCATGCACTCAAGATTGTGAAGAAGATTAGGTAAGTTAGTATTTTTAATTATTTGAGGATATTATTTTTATGCATGTAAGGAATAAATAAATTAACATGGTATTATTGGGAAATTGTTATTAGCAATGAATTAGTTTAAAGTAATTAGGATTGTAATCTAATTTTTATTAATTTAATGTATGTGCTTATTTATTTTAAGTAGTGTTTTTTTAATTAATTTAATGATCGTGATTTTGTGAGTTATATGTTTGTAGTATTTTGGAATACGTTTGAGTAGAAGTAAATGTGCATAGAAAGAATTTAAATATTTGACACTAAGTATTTGGAACCATTTTTAATGTTTGCATTATAAATTTGCAGGTGACGTTTATAATAGATAATTTAGAGGGAAAAGTTTTTGGATATTTTATTTATTTTATACGTGCAAATGTTCATCCTTGGAAAGGGCATATACTTTTTTGTGATCAGGTAATTTCATAAATATCCTTCTTACCGAATTTAAAGATTCACAAAATTTTCCTGCATTTTCGTGAAATTTTTGCAATTTATGAGAAAAAAGCAGTGTACATGGATGAAGAGTGTGCGCAATGCTATTTTTTGTGCAATTCTGGGATGTTTTTTTAAGTAAAAATAACTCGACGTGTACATGGTTTAATTATATTTTAATTAAATGATAGTTATTTTGTGAATTATATGTTTGTAGCAATTTGGAATATGCTTCAGTAGAAGTACACGTGCATGGAAATAATTTAATATTTGACATAAGTATTTGAAACCATTTTTAATGTTGCGTTATAAATTTGTTGGTGACGTTTTATAATAGATAATTTAGAGGGAAAAGTTTTTGATTTTTTATTTATATTTATACGTGGAAATGTTCATTCCTTGGATTGGGTATATACTTTTTCGCGATCAGGTTAATTTCATATATGTGCTTTTTACCGAGTTTAAAGATTCACAAAATTTTCCTGCATTTTCGTGCAAATTTTTTTAATTTATGAGAAAAAAGCAGTGTACATGGCTAAAGTGAAGAGTGTGCGCTATGCCATTTTTGTGCAATTCTGGGATTTTTTTTAAGTAAAAATAAGTCGACGTGTACATGGTTACTGTGTATGTGCGATTCTGAAAAACGCGGCAAGGAGTTTGCGATTCTGCACTTTTTCCCAATTTTGCAGTGAATGTTTGTCATGATTAAGCAGTTTTGTTTGATAAAATTTCTAGCATAAGTGTAATTCAGCTAGCAGATTGTTGGAAAAAGTGTTCAGTAAATAAAAAGAAAAGAAACATGTCTTTACTGGCGCCGAAAAAAAAAAGTAGAAGGTTGATGTAGCAGAGTTGGTTGCCAAATTTTTGCCAAGAAATCGCCAAGTTACCATAATCCAAAGATCAACCCTTTACTTCGTGAAAACAAAATGGAATGCAAAAAAAAAAAAAAAAAAAAAAAAAAAAACTAGCAGGTTGCTGTAGCAGGGTTGGTCGCCAAAAAATCGCCAATTTACCATAATCCAAAGATTAACCGAAAATCCTTGTTCACACAAATAGGTTGTGCAAAAAGGCAGTAAAAATTTAATATATATATTTCAAATGCTTTTAAATTCTTTTTTCAGTTCAGCCAGAAGTTAACAAGTGTGTTATTTTTGAAATCTTCAGTTAGAGTTCGATTACAGGAAATTTCTATTAATTTTTCTTTTCCTTCGCGAGAAAAAATTTCAGGTACATTTGAACAAAATAGATTTCTGATACAATTTTCTTTTTCATAATAATCGGGAAAATACTTGTGAAAACTATTTATCAATGGAAAACAATGATTGGCTAATCTTTGGAATATGGTAACAGGTAGTTTGGCGACATTTGGTAAGGCGATAAATGTTACTAGCTAGGACTTTAGCAGTGTACATGGATAAAGTCAAGAGTGTGCGCAATGCCATTTTTGTGCAATTCTGGGATGTTTTTTTAAGTGAAAATAGGTCGACGTGTACATGTATGATACCGTGTATGTGCAATTCTTAAAAACGCGACAAGTTGTTTGCAATTCTGCACTTTCTCCCAATTTCGCACCTAATCTTCATCATGATTAAGCACTTTTGTTCCATAAAAGTTCTAGCATAAGCGTAATTCGGTTAGCAGATTGTTGGGTTGATCTTTACAATATGGTAACTAGTAGTTTGGAGACATTTTGGAGGCGATAAAGGTTACTACCTGGGACTTTGGTAATAATGTGAGCAGTACTCAGTTCCGATTACGCATTATTTTGTGTGAAGGAAATGAGAGATCATGGGATATGTCATGTGATATTAATGGACGAATTACGGTTCTTTAATCGGAAAAGGGGAGAAATCGGGAAAAAATCTGGAAATTTTGTATTTGGGTTTATTCTGTGTTGTGTGAAACAGTGTTCCTTAATTTTTGGATCCCATGGCTGTAACTAAAGTGAATTCGAAATGGGTATTTAGTGGTATTGAAAAGGGTAGTAATAAATGTTTCTTTAAGGTTGTGCGAGATAGAAATAAAGATGTTTTATTAAGTTATTTATTTTACCTGGTACCTTGCTGTGAAATATAAGTATGATTTTAAAGATCCTGAAATAGAAACAAGGAAAGTTTATCGGACGCGTAATCAAGATTCTGAAGAACATTAGATAAGTTAGTATTTTTAATTATTTGAGGATATTATTTTTTTGCATGTTCTAAATGTAAGGTGGAAAGGAATTTGGTATTATTGGGAAAATTGTTATTAGCAATGATTTAGTTTAAAGTAATTAGGATTGTAAGGTAATTTTTATTAATTTAATGTATGTGCTCATTTATATTTTAAGTAGTGTTTTTGAATTTATTTATATTTTAATGAAATGATAGTTATTTTGTGAATTTTATGTTTGTAGGAATTTGGTATACGTTTTAGTTGAAGTAAACGTGCATGGAAATAATTTAAATATCTGTCACTAAGTATTTGTAATGGTTGCGGTATGAATTCTTTGGTGACGTTTATAATATAATAGATGATTTAGAGGTAAATGTTTTTGGATATTTTATTTATTTTATATGTGAAAATGTTCATATTTGGAAAGGGTTAATACTTTTTCTCGATCTGGTAATTTCATATATGTTCTTTTTACTGGGTTTAAAGATTGAGAAAATTGTCATGTGTTTTCGTGAAATTTTTCTAATTTATGAGAAAAAAGCAGTGTACATGGATATAGTGAAGAGTGTGCGCAATGCCATTTTTGTGCAATTCTGGGATGTTTTTTAAGTAAAAATAAGTCGGCGTTGCGTTGTACATGGTTTATGTGTATGTGTTATTTTGAAAAACGAGTAAGGAGTATGGTATTGTGCACTTTTTCCCAATTTTGCAGTGAATGTTTGTCATGATTAAGCAGTTTTGTTTGATAAAATTTCTAGCATAAGTGTAATTCGGCTAGTAGATTGTTGGAAGAAGTGTTCAGTAGATAAAAAGAAAAGAAACATGTCTTTACTTAGTGAAGACAAAATGGCGGCGGGGAAAAAAAATAGAGGGTTGCTGTAGGAGAGTTGGTCGCCAAATTTTCGCCAAGTTACCATAATGTAAAGATCAACCCAATGATTTTTTAATGTCAGATGCTAATTCTTTTATTTTCAAATTAGTGGGCGATTCTGCACTTGACCCTAACATATTATTATCCAATTCTCTGATTTTTAGCTCCAGTTTTATCATTAAGATTGGGGTTCATGCAGTTTGTATTGGACAGTTATAATGGTAACAGTGTCTACTCGCTTACTGTAATCGAACATCAATTGAAAATAATAAATACAAATAATATTCCAGTCTTTCCTTATTAAGAAAAGAATACTATAAATAAAACACAATATCTTAAATATACGATTTGCAGATGTATGATACAAGTATATCAATAAATTAAAATCAGATTAAGTACCATCGTTTATTCCACTGTTTTTGCATTGGCTTCCAAGGATGGATCACAGACGGCGGAGGGATTTTTTTTGATTTAACTGCTACATAAGCTTCGTCTTTTTCAGTAAAACGGTCCTGAAACATTTCTTCAAAAGCTGCAACTTCCTCTGCACAATCAACATCTGTCATTATATTGCCGACACGTTTACAAAGAATATCTAAGGTTAGAGATTCTTTGACGTTTATACACAAATTACAGAATTTTCAAATTGTTTACACATACGTTTTTCTCTATTCACTTCACTTCTATCTGTTAGGAAGATATAAGTTATTTTAAATTTTAGTTTTTTTGCAAAAAAATAAAGTACTTATTCCACCATTAAATAAATGTGAACAAACAATTTTATATGGAATGAAAAAAAGTATTTTCATAAAAATCCCACAATAAATAAAAAGTACATAATGAGTACTTTTTTATTTGTTTATTCCGGTGTCAGCTGTGCAAATACATTGTTTACATTAATGTGTATGAGCATTATTGTTTATAGTTCTAAATGATCAACAAACATTCTTATATTAGAGAGTAATTTCTAAATTTTATTCTTGAATTAAACAGCATGTAGGAAAAGTGTAAATAACCGAAGTATTTTTTTATAACAGTGCATTTTAAAGTAAAGAAGGTTGACAACATTTGCTCCGTAAAATTTATGTTCATTGAATGCGTATTGATACTGCATAATTTTTTGTTCTAATTCAAAAGTTAATATTTTATTGTATTGACAGGATAATGGCTCACTATTCAACTTGTAGAAATTGTATTTGTCTTGGACAGCGAACATGACTAAAAGACTTCTAGATAAAAAGGTTATAGAGATGTAAGTTTTATTTTTTTTTTTTTTTAATATTATTTAGCTCGTGGATAATCATTGTAAACAAATACTGTTTGTTCAAAGTATCTGTCTTTGAATATGCATGTAGGTTTGAATGAAGTGAAGTTTACTATACATACATAGTGAGTGTGCATGTTCATAAAAGTTACCACTAGAGCATAAAATTAGGCTGAAAAGTAAGCGTAATCATCAGCGGATGTATAGTGTATTGTTTTACTAGGTAATTAAGAGTCATCTTCTATTATCATAGAATTAAAATAGATAAACTATTCAATGTTTTTGTGTTTATACAAATGCTGTATTTACTGATGCATTTGTTTTCAAACAAATTAAAAAGTGAATCCAAAGTATTCTAAAAAGCATTTATACATGTACAATTAATAACATTTTGATGTCATCTTGGGATTACTTGGAAAGGCCATTTTGGAGGCATTTACCTGAAATGCGACATGGAAGCAACAAAGCAAAATGTCAATAAAGTTTACATGTGTGACTAATTATTTATGTTACCTTGGAAGGCTAGAAAGATAACTGCTGAGGTGTTAATGGCATTTAGAAGTATTGAAATAAATACAATTTAAACAGTGGCGTAGCTAGGGTGGGGGCAAGGGGGTGCAGCATCCAGAGGGTGCCAAATTGATGTTACAAACTTTAGAAGAAAGGTCTTCTATTCTTGTCCCACAGAAAGGGGGGCAAAATCTCCATTTGTCCCCAAGCACTGAAAACCCTAGCCACGGATCTGAATTTAAATATGGCTAATCTTTGGAATATGGTAACAGGTAGTTTGGCGACATTTTGGTAGGCAATAAAGGTTACTACCTAGGACTTTGGGAATAATGTGAGACGTACTCAGTTCCGATTACGCATTATTTTGTGCGAGGGAAATGAGAGATCATGAGATATATGTCATGTGACATTAATGCACGAATTACAGTTCTTTAATCGGAAAAGGGGGGAAATCTGGAAATTTTGTATTTAGCTTTATTCTGTGTTGCGTGAAACAGTGTTGGTTAATTTTTGGATCCCATGGCCCTATCTAAAGTGAATTCGAAATAGGTATTTAGTGGGATTGAAAGGGGTAGTAATAAGTGTTTTTTTAAGGTTATGCGAGATAGAAGTAAAGATTGCTTATTAAGTGTTATTAAGTTATTTATTCTACCTGGTACAATAATATCTGATTGCTGGAAGTCATATGTCTGTTTGGAGGATGAAGGTTTTCAACATCTTGCTGTGAACCATAAGTATGATTTTAAAGATCCTGAAACAGGTGCACATACGAATACAATAGAGGGCACATGGAGTGCTATAAAAAGCGCCATTCCGAAGCATTATGATAAAGAGAATTTTGCTTTTTATTTAGCGGAGGAAATAAGAAAAGTTTATCCGCCATATAATTAAGATTCTGAAGAATATTAGGTAAGTTAGTATTTTTAATTATTTGAGGCTATTATTTTTATGAATGTAAGGAGTAAATAAATTAATATGGTATTATTGGAAAATTGTTATTAGCAATGATTTAGTTTAAAGTAATTAGGATTGTAAGCTAATTTTTATTAATTTAATGTATGTGCTTATTTATATTTTAAGTAGTGTTTTTTTAATTTAATTATATTTTAATTAAATGATAGTTATTTTGTGAATTATATGTTTGTAGCAATTTGGTATACATTTCAGTGGAAGTAAACGTCCATGGAAATAATTTAAATATTTCACACTAAGTATTTGCAACCATTTTTAATGTTTGTGTTATAAATTCGTTGGTGACGTTTATAATAAATAATTTAGAGGTAAAAGTTTTTGGATATTTTATTTACTGTATACATGCAAATGTTCATCCTTGGAAAGAATATATACTTTTTCGCGATCGGGTAATTTCATATATGTCCTTTTTACCGAATTTAAAGATTCACAAAATTTTCATGCATTTTCGTGAAATTTTTCTAATTTATGAGAAAAAAGCAGTGTACATGGATATAGTGAGGAGTGTGCGCAATGCCATTTTTGTGCAATTCTGGGATTTTTTTTTAAGTAACAATAAGTCGACGTGTACATGGTTTAATTATATTTTAATAAATGATAGTTATTTTGTGATATATGTTTGTAGCAATTTGGTATACGTTTGAGTGGAAGTAAACGTGCATGGAAATAATTTAAATATTTGAAACTAAGTATTTGTAACCATTTTTAATGTTTGCGTTAGAAATTCGTTGGTGACGTTTATAATAGATAATTTAGAGGTAAAAGTTTTTGGATATTTTATTTATATTATACGTGGAAATGTTCATCCTTGGAAAGGATATATACTTTTTCGCGATCAGGTAATTTCATATATGTGCTTTTTACCGAGTTTAAAGATTCACAAAATTTTCCTGTTAATCTTTGGATTATGGTAACTTGGCAATTTTTTGGCGACCAACCCTGCTATAGCAACTTGCTAGTTTTTGGTTGGACGCCATTTTGTTTTCACGAAGTAAAGGCATGTTTTTTGTTTTACTCAACATTTTCTTCTAACAATCTGCTAGCCGAATTACGCTCATGCTAGTACTATTATGGAACAAAAGTGCTTAATCATGACGAAGATTAGGTGCGAAATTGGGAGAAAGTGCTGAATCGCAAATTGCTTGCCGCGTTGCACATACACGGTATCCATTTAAACGTCGACCTATTTTCACTTAAAAAAAACATGCCAATTGCATGAAAATGGCATTGCGCACACACTTGACTTTATCCAAGTACACTGCTAAAGTCCTAGCTAGTAACCTTTATCGCCTTACCAAAATGTCGCCAAATTACCTGTTACCATATTCCAAAGATTAGCCAATTTTCCTGCATTTTCGTGCAAATTTTTGTAATTTATGAGAAAATAGCAGTGTAGATGGACAAAGTCAAGAGTGTGCGCAATGCCATTTTTGTGCAATTCTGGGATGTTTTTTTAAGTAAAAATAAGTCGACCTGTACATGGTTACTGTGTATGTGCGATACTGAAAAACGCAGCAAGGAGTTTGTGATTCTGCACTTTTTCCCAATTTTGCAGTTAATATTTGTCATGATTAAGCAGTTTTGGGCTGATCTTTGGAATATGGTAACTGGTAGTTTGGCGACATTTTGGAGGCGATAAAGGTTACTAGCTAGGACTTAAGTAATGTACTTGGATACGATAAAGGTTACTACTTAGGACTTTGGTAATAATGTGAGAAGCACTCAGTTCCGATTACGCATTATTTTGCGTGAGGGAAATGAGAGATCATGAGATATGTCTTGTGACATTAATGGACGAATTACAGTTGTTTAATCGGAAAAGGGGGGAAATCTGGAAATTTCGTATTTAGCTATATTATGTGTTGTGTAAAACGTGACATTAATGGACGAATTACAGTTCTTTAATCGGAAAAGGGGGTTAATTTGGAAAAGCTTCATTGTGTGTTGTGTGAAATAGTGTTGATTAATTTTCGGATTGCATGGCGCTATGTAAAGTGAATTCTAAATTTTTAATGTGTTTATCTGATAATAATAATCAGTTGAGATTGTGTGAAAGGAAGGGGTTGATCTTTACAATATGGTAACTGATAGTTTGGCGACATTTTGGAGGCGATAAAGGTTACTACCTGGGACTTTGGTAATAATGTGAGCAGTACTCAGTTCCGATTACGCATTATTTTGTGTGGGAGAAATGAGAGATCATGGGATATGTCATGTGATATTAATGGACGAATTACTGTTCTTTAATCGGGAAAAAAATCTGGCAATTTTTTTATTTGGCTTTATTCTGTGTTGTGTGAAATAGTGTTTATGAATTTTTGGATCCCATGGCCGTAACTAAAGTGAATTCGAAATGGGTATTTAGTGGTATTGAAAAGGATAGTAATAAATGTTTTTTAAGGTTGTGCGAGAGAGAAATAAAGTTGTTTTATTATGTTATTTATTTTACCTGGTATCTTGCTTTAAAAGATAAGTATGATTTTAAAGATTCTGAAACAGAAGGAAGAAAAGTGTATCCGCCACGCAATCAAGATTCTGAAGAAGATTAGGTAAGTTAGTATTTTTAATTATTTGAGGATATTATTTTTATGCATTGTTGTAAATGTAATGTGGAAAGGAATTTGGTATTATTGGGAAAATTGTTATTAAAAATGATTTAGTTTAAAGTAATTAGGATTGTAAGGTAATTTTTATTAATTTAATGTATATGCTCATTTATATTTTAAGTAGTGTTTTTTTTGAATTTAATTATATTTAATGAAATGATATATTTATTTTGTGAATTTTATGTTTGTAGGAATTTGGTATACGTTTAAGTTGAAATAAACGTGCATGGAAAATAATTTAAATATTTATTATTAAGTATTTGTAATGCTTGCAGTATGAATTCTTTGGTGACGTTTATAATATAATAGATGATTTAGAGGTAAATGTTTTTGGATATTTTATTTATTTTATATGTGAAAATGTTCATATTTGGAAAGGGTTAATACTTTTTCTCGATCTGGTAATTTCATATATGTTCTTTTTACTGGGTTTAAAGATTGAGAAAATTGTCATGTATTTTCATGAAATTTATTAATTTATGAGAAAAAAGCAGTGTACATGGATATAGTGAAGAGTGTGCGCAATGCCATTTTTGTGCAATTCTGGGATTTTTTTTAAGTAAAAATAAGTCGACGTGTACATGGTTTAGTGATATTGTAAAGAAATGATAGTTATTTTGTGAATTTTATGCTTGTAGGAATTTATTATACGTTTAAGTTGAAATAAACGTGCATGGAAATAATTTAAATATTTGATATTAAGTATTTGTAATGCTTGCGGTATAAATTCGTTGGTGACGTGTATAATGTAATAGATGATTTAGAGGTAAAAGTTTTTGGATATTCTATTTATTTTATATGTGGAAATGTTGATATTTGTAAAGGGTAAATACTTTTTCGCGATCATGTAATTTCATATATGTTCTTTTTACCGGGTTTAAAGATTGAGAAAATTGTCAT